GACTCGAAACTTCTGAAGTAACGAAAGTTCAAGAACACTCCCGTTAGGGATTCGAGCGCCAAAGCCTTTTACATAATAGATAACAAATGAGCTAACAGCGCCACACCACCCCACCCCCCTTCCCCAAAATAAAGAGAAACAAAGAACAAAGAAAAAAAAACCCAAAGAAAACTCCTCCACTAGCTTTATCCACGTTCAGAAATGGAGTGGATGTAGATAACGCCCTGTTGCATTTTGCAGGTGGGCGGAGCCAAACTGTGACACGATGCTAGTGGACCCTCAAGGAATTGTCTACGTCATCTCCAGCAAGGTCGGAGGTCACGGGGTCATGGGAAAACTTCCCAACAGCGGCTGGACCTCCGGGGACCAACGAGTGAAACCCGAGAGAACTGTGGTGACGTCAGCGGTCGCGTCATTCACGCCCCCGAATCCTGACTGGTTTAACGAGGTGAGCTTTGAGGAAAGAGCAATACACAAAAACGATAAACATTATTTTGTCTAAGGAAAAGCCAAACAGACAGACAGAAACAACAGAGGGAAAAGAAAATACAGGACGTAATCATTTCGCCTCTAAATCCTGATTGGTTTAAAGAGGTGAGCTTTGGGGAAAGAGAAACATGAACGCGATAACCGCCATTTTGTCTAAGGAAAAGCCTGACAGACGGACAGACACAAACAACAAAGTGAAAGAAAAAGTAGGACGAATACCTTTCTCTTCCGAACCCTGATTGGTTTAATGAGTTGAGGTTTCGTCATCATCATCACCATCATCATGATCATCACTATCATTTTCACAACCACCAGCATCACTATCATCATCATCATCATCATCAATTATCATCATCATCATCATCATCATCATCATCATCATCATCATCATCCTCATCCTCATCATCATCATCATCATCATCATCATCATGATGTTGTGGTGAAAGGAGAGTAGGGAAGGAAGGTCTTGAGTAATTCCCGCTCAGATAAAGGTAAATAAAGAGAGAAAAAATTTTGTTTTTGGAGTACACAAGATCATGCTCGGCGGCAGCAGCAGCACCTCCACCACTACTCTCCTCCACCTTTTCCTTCCCCTCCTCCTCCCCTCTTTCGCTCCCCGCCTCCTTCTCATCTACATCCGCCTGCTCCTCTTCCTCCGCCTCCTCCTAATTCTTCCATCTCTCCTCTGACGGTAAGGAGATGCTGATCAGAAGCTGCCCTTCTGCATCCTCCCCCTCCTCCTCCTCCTCCTCCTGCTCTTCATCCTCCTATTCCTCATTCTCTCCCTCCTCCCCCTCCCCTCCTCCTCATCCTCCTACTCTTCCTTCTCCTATTCCTCCTTCTCTCCCTCCTCGCCCTCCTCCTCCCCCCCCCCAGGGCCCCACGGGTGCAGACATCTCCTCTGACGGTAAGGAAATGTTGATCAGAACCTACGAGCAGGTCCTCTATTGGTACGTTCCGGACGGAGACTATCTCACAGCCGCTTCCAACCAAACCGGACGTCCGGTGACGTCACATCCGGAACCCCAAGGAGAGGGAGTGGCCTGGACACCTGACGGGAAGGGTTACTACACCACTTCAGAGGGGCTCCACCCTTACATCTATTACTTTGAGAGGGAAGACCGTCCTATTGTTGGATAATGTCTGTAGTAAATTGTGAGGCTTTATGTTGAAATTAGGCGCAAGTCAAAGATATAATGAAATCAAAGAAACCTACATTTTTCCGCGTCTGGAATTTTTTTCTGATTTTTCAATACCTTTTATGTCCAGTGATTTCTATGAGGATTTTACTGAAAAATGTTGATTTAAAACGCACGAAAAATGTAAATTTTCAGTTTTCAAGGACTTTTAACGCTATGGGGTCACCAAACTTTGACAGCCATTTTCTTGCTAAATTTACCTCTAAAACCAGGCGACCCGCACCTCCTTCAATCGCAAATACTTGAGTTGTATTCAAAAGTCAAATGAAATAGCTTTAAGATGACACCAGTAACTACACATGCCCAAAAATTGACGAGCGCCTGATTCCAATGCGTTTTAAACAGTTTGATTTTCTTGAAATCTAAAACCTCAAAGGCAAGTTTTGGGGGACGCTTTTGTGTTGGGTAGAAACTTCAAAGCGGCTTAAAATAAATCAGCTATAATAATGATAAAATTTAAATTTTTGTTTGCTTGTTTGTTTGTTTGTTTGTTTGTTTGTTTGTCTTCGTCCTTATTCATATTCACATGATTTTCATAACTTGAAGGAGCGGGGAGGGAGGGGGGGAACACATGATCGTTATTTTAACCGTACTGAGCCATCTTATAAGCTTTCAGTCTAATATCTCTGTCTGTCTACCACACTCACCCCACCCCCAAATCTCTCTCTCTCTCTCTCTCTCTCTCTCTCTCTCTCTCTCTCTCTCTCTCTCTCTCTCTCTTGTCTATTCCAATCAGTTCCACCCTTTGTCAATAACCTTACCATTCATTTACCATTAAAATGGTTTTTTGTTGGGTTTTTTTAGGGGGGGGGGTGTATTTTTAGTTAGTGCTTTATGGCGCTCGCAACTGCATACGTCATATGAGCATGCTTCAGTTTGCTAAGAGTTTTGAATTTTGCCCGGGTGGCGGCTGAAGCCTACTCATTTCAATTTTAGGACCACCAAGGGATTTTTCACGTACGCAACTTGCACACGGGGCCTCCTAGATTGTTCTTCCTTTTCCGAGAAGGCTAGGTGTTCAGTCTTACCTACGATAAGATCAGAGGTGTGGATGAAAGATAACAGTAATAGGGAGCCAAGGAGAAGCAGTAGAAAGGCTGCAGAACGAGTCATGCGCTCAGAGGAGTGGGCAAAGGGAAAGGAGGGGGGGGGCAAAGCAGACAACAAAACATGGTTAGGGAGTAGGAAAGGGGGTGAAAGGATACAGTTTTAGAGAAGAAATCTTCAACCGCTGTCTGGGTTATTAAAATATTTATAGTAAAGCATGTAAAAAAACGACGTCTTTGCTATAATTGTTAAGTTCTTGCTCGCTACTTCACGAGTTCGAGAGAGCACATCAGCAGAATGACATTGTGATTAAGTAGTCTTAAAATAACACTAATACCAACCAAAAGCGTTCATCACAATCATTCCCAGCTTCCCTGAAAGCATAATAATAATGATAATAATAATAATAATAACTAAAATGATAGTAATAATAATAATAATCATAATA